GCATTTCTTTGTTGGTAAGTTTTTGATTACATCTTTGATCTCATTGTTTGATACTGCTTTATTTAGGGTTTTTTTGTTTTGTTTTGTTTTTGTACTAGGGATCGAACTCACAACCTCGTGCTTGCCAGGCAAGTGCTTATGCCACTGAACTAAATCCCTGGCCCCTTATTTAGGATTTTTATATCCTCTTGATTCAGCTTTGGTAACTCATATGTATCTAGGAATCTGTCCATTTCTTCTGTATTTTCCATCTTACTAGAATACAAGTTTTCAAAGTAGGTATAAAGTAGATGATCTTCTGGATTTCAGCAGGGTCTATTGTGATTTTACCCTTTTTATTTCTACTTGCATGAATTTGAGTCTTTGCTTTCCTTTTTTTGATAAGATTGGATAAGGCTTTGTCAATTTGATTTAATCTTTCAAAGAACCAATGCTTGTATTCATTTATTCATTTTTTTCAGGAATTTTTTTTTTATTTTGAAAGTATACAACAGAACAAGTCAGAATAAAGCCAACTAAGATTGTACAGTGAAATTGGTACAGAACTTCACAGCAGGTTACCAGGATAACAGTTATAGGTATCACAGTATATTTTGTTATCTTTATAATAGTTGTTCTTTCAGTCACGTATATCAAAATGAGATGAAATATAGAACACTATAGAACTTATCAAAACAGAATATTGAATAGAGCAGTACCATTAATTAGAAAAGAGCAAAACAGTAATAAAAATATTTGCCTTCAAAGACATGGTAGAAGGAAGTCTCCCTTATTTGCTATGGTCAACCTGCCAGGAGATGCTCAGATTTCTGGTTCCCATTTGCTAATGGGCGAGGGGTGGGGAGGGAGGAAGAAGGAGGATACGGGAAGTGGGATATTTGACTCTAGGCTATGTAGCAGTAGGTTCACTATTGCTAAGCAGGGAGGCAGGATGGTCATTTGTTTTCACAGCATCCTCAGTTCCAACATGGCGTGGATCTCAGGAGACACTGCTAGTTCTCCCCCTGGAAGGGCTGCAGTCTGCCACCCTGCCTCCGCTTACCAGGGAGGGGAGGTGCTGGCTTGGCTTCCCAGAGTCCTAAGTTCCAACATGGTATGGATCTCAGGAGACACTGCTGGTTCTCCCCCTGGAAGGGCTGCAATCCATTTATTCATTTTTTTGTCTCCAGTGTGTTAATTTCTCTGATCTTTGTAATTTCCTCCCTTATATGAGCTTTTGACTTAGCCTACTTTTCTTTTTCTAGAAGTTTGAGGTTCACCATTAAGTTGTTTATATATACGTACTTGCTCTGTTTTCCTGATATGATATGCTATAAATTTCCCTCCTAGGACTGCTTTTGTTGTCTCCCATAAGTTTCAGTATGTTGTATTGTCATTATCACTTTTTGTCATCATTCAGCTGTAAAAACTGTCTAATTACTTTTTAAATTTCATCTGTGACCCATTGGTTGTTCAGAAGGATACCTTTTAATTTCCATGTGTTTATGAATTTCTTGTCATTTCTTTTTTTTTTTTTTTTTAATTTTATTTTAAAGAGAACAAAACAGAGTTTGGCCAGATGAAACAGAGTAAAGCCAATAAAAAAAAATGAGAGCAATACAGGATTTCAAAACAAAATAATAGAAAATCAACAATGGCTTCCCGTAATGGCTGATATTATGTTTTAAATATCTGTCCATATGCTGGGGATTTAACTCAGTGACATAAGTGCCTGCCTGGCAAATGGAAGGTCATGAGTTTGATTCCCTATTTCAAAAAAAAAAAAAAACCAAAAACAAAAAAAATCTGTTCGTACTATAAGATATAATAAAATGAAGCAAAACAAAACAGAATAAAACCAATCAAAAGAAAACAATGAAAGTGATACAGGACTTCAAAACAATAGGAGATCAACAATGGCTACTATAATATATTTTGTTATCTTTGAAATAGCTTCCCATATCATCAGACATAATAGAATCTAACAAAACAGAATAAAACCAAGCTAAGCAAAACAATGAAAATGAAAGGAGACTTCCAGACAAGGTATTAGGAAATTCACAATGGCTACCACTTTCCCTTTTTAGACATTTTCCCCCTTTTACCTTCACAATATCTATTGTACATTTTGGATCCCAGTAACCCCTTCAGGTTTTTTTTCTCTTTTAATTTTAAAGGGAATAAAACAGAGCCATAAAACAAATCAAAACAGTGATAAAACAGTATGAAATCTACAATAGGCACTATATTGCATATAGTCCTCTAAATAATTGCTCAGTTTAGGCTGGCAAGTCAGTCAAACAATACAGTGCCTCTGAATCAGCCGGTTGCTCACAGGGTGGAGGTTGTCTCATCCTAGCCCCCGCACCAGCCGACTCACAGGCTGGGGCTTTGTGTCCATCTTCTCTCATTCTTTTTTTTTTTCTGTTATGGGGATTGAACCCATGACCACGGCGCTTGCAACGCAGGCACTTATGCTGCTGAGCTAAGTCCCCGGCTTCTTGTCATTTCTTTTGCCACAAATTTCCAGTTTCTTTATACTATGGTCTGATTAATATGCATGGAATAATTTCAGTTTCTTTGTATTTACCTAAGCATGTTCTGTGAGCTAGTATGTGGTCTGTTTTGGAGAACATCCCACATGTAGCTGAGAAGAATGTATATTCTGATGTTGGGTGGAGGTACACATATATTTACCTTCACTCTGCCATAAATGTCTCATAACTACACCAGCATCCAGGATAAGGTAGCAAGAAGACAAAATAAACGAGAGATTTGAACCAAATTTTTTAGATTACATGCTAATATGGCAGTGGTGGTAAACCCACGGCACATATGTTGTTTTTCTTTTAAAACAAAAGATGTTAATGTTTGAGTTGTTTTTTCTAAATTAAAGCTTCAGTATTCAAATTTAATTACAGTGTTAGCACTTTGTGATAAATAAGGGGGTTTTGGGTTGCAGTTTGGACATTTATCTCTAAAAGCTTCACCATCACTGCTGTATGGTTTTATTTCCATTGAGGAAGCAAGGTTCTGTCTCACAGTTGTAGGTGCCTGCAAGTACTGTTGCTACCTGTATTCCTGTCAGGAAGCCATTTTCATGGAATTCCTTGAACCTGAACTAGAAGGGCTTCTTCTGAGGCCCACTATGTCCCTGCCATACTCCTTCCAAATTTGGGGCAACTTTGACTCTGTGAGATACAGGAGTTTTTATTTTTTAGATTACTGTACCCTTTTGTCTTTTTGATTCCTTAGGTATCTGCTTCATGCATTCTGTCTAGGTTTTATAATTGCATTGAGTGGGAAAGGCAAGGTAAAATGCATCTACGACATCTTAACTTAGAGCTGGAACCTCTTTCTGACTGCCTGTAGGGCACATTTTGTTTTGGTTTGGTTTTGTTGTCTCCCATAAGTTTCAGTATGTTGTATTGTCATTGCACTCTCCGCTTAATTCTGGTTTTTGTTTTTTTGTTTTTTGTTTTAGTTTGACCGTGATGTACCTATGTTTAGTTTTCTTTATATTTATCTTGATAAAGTTCACTAGGCTTCTTGAATTATAGGTTAATGATTTTGATCAACTTTAGACAATGTCTAAAATGCTCTGTCATACGTCTTCAAAGGTTTCTTTTGCTTCCTTCTGACTTCTGAGATTCTAATTATTATATATGATATTAATTTGATACTGTCCATATCTGTAATGCTTTATTTTTTATTCTATTTTTTCTCTTGATGCTTCAGTCTATATAATTTCTATTGGTCCATCTTTGAATTAATTGAATATTTCTTTGAAGTGCTTAGTCTTTCGTTTTACATCAAACTAAAAATTTCTTACAATAAATATACATAGTATCAGCTTCTTAGAAGACTGAGGCAGGAGAATTGTAGGTTTAAGCCAGTCTGGCCAATTTAGCAAGACTCTGCTTCAAAATAAAATTTACAAAGGTCTAGGGATATAGCTCAGTGGCAGAGCACTTGCCTAACATGCATGAGTCCCTCCCTGGGTTTAATCCTTTTAACCACAAAACAAAAGCTTATCCAGCTGTTTGTATGTTTACATTTTTTCCTGTATAAAGTAAGTTATAAAATAAAACATAAATAATACTCTCATGATTGTTTTTCAAGAATAATTTTCAAGAAATTCTATTAGTTGGGGTATCTTTTTGCTGGCCTAGGATAAGACTTTAAAATTAATATATATATAAGAAGGATATATTTTTATTCCTTCCACAGTAGCTGTTTAGCTGCTAGGGAAGAAAGTGTTCGTTTATTCATTTATTTGATATTTTTTGATTCCCATCAAGTCAGAGATCTCTTATCTAGGTAAAATAACTGCATTTTGCCATTTATCAGAGTTTACCCAAAACCTTTTAGCATTGTGTTCAGAGTATATCATTCTCTCTGCCTGTGACAGTTCTCTTGCATTCTTCTTTCTTCTTGATTGTGCTTTACTCAAAACCAAAACAAAGATTTACTTAATATCATTAGGTATCAGGCAAGTATTAGGAAATACAAAGACAATTAAAACATGGTTTCCTGTTGGATATGGTGGTACATCCCTGTAAGTCCAACACTAGGGAAGCTGAGGCAAAAGGATAGCAAGTTCAAGGCCAGCCTGGGCAACCTAACAAGACCTTGTCTGAAAAAAATAAAGTCCCTAACCCTTATGGAATTTTCACTTCAAGGATAGAGGATAGAGGCATAAATAGCTATGACAAAACACTAGGAATATGATAGTAGTAGTTAAATACATGGTGTAGGCAAGATAGCATGAAATAGCCATTTTTACCAAAAGGCTTAATTGAGAATAAAAAAATGTCTGAGACTTGTGGTATGAGTTTAAATTGCCTGGAATAGATGAAAAGGTTATTTTCTGGCAGTGATTCATTATTAAATGCAGAGATGATGAAATAACTACACAGTTTATTTAAAAAACAAATAGTCCAGTTATACTTTTTTCATAAAAGTTGGAAGAAATTGTTGTTCATCTCTTCCTTCTTAACTTTTATTAATTTTCTTTAAAGGTCATCAACTGGCAAACATCTCTTCACATTCCCCCACAAGCTAAACTGAGTCCTGAAGCTTCTGATCTGATTATTAAACTCTGCCGAGGACCAGAAGATCGCTTAGGCAAGAATGGTGCTGATGAAATAAAAGCTCATCCATTTTTTAAAACAATTGATTTCTCCAGTGATCTGAGACAGCAGTCTGCATCATATATTCCTAAAATCACACACCCAACAGATACATCGAATTTTGACCCTGTTGATCCTGACAAGTTGTGGAGTGATGATAATGAGGAAGAAAATGTAAATGACACTCTCAATGGATGGTATAAAAATGGAAAACACCCTGAACATGCTTTCTATGAATTTACCTTTCGGCGATTCTTTGATGACAATGGCTACCCATATAATTATCCAAAGCCTATTGAATATGAACACATTAATTCACAAGGCTCAGAACTACATTCAGATGAAGATGATCAACATAAAGGTTCAGAGATCAAAAATCGTGATCTAGTATATGTTTAACACGCTAGAAAATAATCATAATGAGAATTTGCAAAAAGGCCTAAAATAATGGGTTTTTTGAAATTCTGAGTAAAATTATGCAACTGTGGCAGAGCTGTGTATGTGTGCTCTGTGTACAATATTTTATTTTCCTAAATTATAGGATATCCTTTAAAATGTTAATTTATTCCAACCTTTTAAATCATTAATTTAGATAAAAATTGTTATACATAAGTTATGAATTGAGTATTACAGTCAGTTCTTGGTACTTAAAGTACTTAAAATAAAAAAATAGTGCTTTGTTTAAAAGGAAAAGCCTGTTATTTGTATATATGCAAAATAATTTTAAAGCTCAAGAGTTTTTGAAATTTTTGAAAGATAGTTTTAGTTTTATCTTGCTTTAACCAAATATGAAACATGCTCATATTTACAGAGTTCTTCTCCCTTCCTCTCCAATAGTATTTTTGGTATAAAATAAATAAGCTAGAGAAATTAAGCCATCATTTTGCAGAGTGTTCCTAGGTTAATGATAATTTGTGTAAGTCATATCCTGGAACTAAGAAATACAGGGTAGATACAATATGTTCATCAGAAGGAAAAATCATGCAATTTATCTTTTCTCTCCTCCTTTGTGAAATACTTAATTTTCTAGCTTTTTTCTTCTAGCTTTTTAAAAATTAAAAAGAAAAATACTGGCTTTAATAGAAGCCAAAGCACTACTTGTTTTCTTTCCATTTTGGTATTAATGCTGCTTCCAGTTTTAAAAGGGAACAAAGTTGCCATAAATCAAATTCTAAATACTAAAAGCTAAGGTCTTTTATAGTTTTACTTTAAATTAAAATGTTTTTCTACCATTTTAAGTCAAGAAATTATTTTCAGTTTATATAAAATTTTGATTAGAATTATTTGTGGCTACTCACTAAAAAAGCCGCCCCCCCCTCCCGGGTGGAGGGCACCTGAGAGGTTGTAGCTTAGAGCACTTGCCTAGCATGTACCAGGTCCTAGGTTCAGTTTCCAGCCCTCAAAAAAGAAAAAGTTTTCCTATATAGTGACTCAATTATAAATGCTGTAGAACCTCTTTCATAACAGTGCTGTATATACAGATTGCTATTGACAAAGGAAAAGATAGCTGTTTGGTAATATAGTATTTTACCTAAGGGCCAGTTAACTGGTGTAAAAATAACTGAGATGGCCATTAGTAATTAGGAAAAGTTACGTAGTGGTCTTAGCTAACTTATTTAAGGTTAAATTTCTCAACATGCTTATTTATATAATGCTTAAATTCTTAAGGATAAGTGTGGTTTCATACCAAAATACATATAGATTACTTTTTAGGAAGGAGAATGGAGCTATATTCTGACCTTAGTAAACTATTTTGTATTTTATTTACTTCTTTTAAGCTTCAAAAAAATGCATTTTTAAAATAAAAAATGTGGGTAAGAGGACTAATTTAAGTGACTTTTAAAAACTTTTAGCTTGTTTTATATGAAAGCTAATGGAAACTATAGCAAAATTAAAGGCAAAGGTGTTCCAGTTCATTTGGAAGGAGGGAAAAAACATTAGCTCATATTTCCTACTTTTTGTAAGAGGTGCTCTTAAAAGCTCACCCTGCAAACCACTACCATGTAATGTGGTTCCTTTAGGGTCAAAACTGATCTTTTCAGACTCTGATAAAGGTGGTGGGCTCTAGTTCGTAGGGAAAAAAAGCACATCAGCACACACATAAAATACTGCAGTTTCAGGAAATTCTGGACCTGATGAAACCTGTCAATGACTAAGTTAAAGACCGCTGTCTAATAAGAAAATTGATATTTTAAATTGAGAGCTTTGCTTTTAATTTACTGATCAGTACTTTTCATTAGTATATCTTATATAATACTGATAATTTGTGATGCATGTTCCTCTCTTGGTGGTATAAAACTAAGATATTTCAAACAGCATTTTTGAGGGCACTGAAATGTTTGGCTTATTATAGGATTGATATAACTATTTCTGAAGGATTTCAATCAGAATTTTAAGAAAATACTATAAGATGGCAGTCTTTACTTCATGGAACCTTTGATTAGTCCTATTAAAACCTATGCAAAACTAGTTAGTTCAAAAAATTTTAGCTTGGTACTCACACTTATAAGAAATCCTCTATTCTTTAAGCTTTTTAGGCAAATTTACTTAAATTTTCATTTGATAGTTCTACTTCTGGACTATGGTGCAATACAGTAGAAAAATGACTTTGTTACATTTACATTGTAGGAAAACTAAGGTGCTGTATTCTAACTCTTTTCTCCACTCCTGACAAAATCTGTACTGCTGCTGTTCCTCAAACATGACACTATGAATTTTGTATTCTTTTAAAATTTCCTCTAACAGTTTAAGCTTTTTGTCTTATGTGAAGCAGTATACAAGCCATTAGTACGTGCAGTTTAAATAGTTTGAATATACTTACTAGACATTGTAATTTCCTAACTATATCCAATTCTTCCAGTGTAGATCCAAATACTTCTTGACCAAAAGACAACAACATAAAAAAAAATCTGAATGCCCTCAGTTAAAATTGAGTGAAAACATAGGTTCTACATGTTTTCTTTTTTGGTCTTCTTGAGACAGGGTCTCACTATGCAATTCAGGCTGGCCTTGAGCTCACTTTGTAGCTCACGCTGCTCTTGAACTTGCAGTGATCCTCCTGCCTCAGCCTCCCAAGTGCTGGGATTACAGGAGTGCATCACCAAACCCACCTTTATATGTTTTCATTTTAAAGGAATTTTCTCATTTAAAAAATAAAAACTTGCTGCCTTTCTTACACTTATCCCTTTTATGCCTATCAATAGTATTTATAAATTATGTTCTATAATTATGTAATTGTAGATAACTGTTACGTATTGTCCAGTGGTACCATACCCTAAGGCAGGCCCTATTGCTATGTTTTGTACTTTCTTATTTGTAATAGAAACTCTAGAATGTATGACTAAAAAGTCACTTTGAGATTGACTTTTTTAAAAAGTTATTACCTTCTGCTGTTGCAAAGTGCAAAACTGTGAGTGGAAATGTTTTATTCTGACTTAATAATATGTTGGAGATTAGAGAATACAGTGAAGATTTTTAGATATTTTGCTGCTGCTGTTACCCAAGGTACTTTAGAAATTTTTCTTTGATAAACAAAAATCCCTTTGGTATTTAAAGTGAAATATTTAGTTGGTTTCTTTTAATCTAAAGCAAAAAGTAATTTGGGTCCACAAATTGGTATATTTGTAAATATACCATACCATAATATAATCCTTTTGTGGAAAGCACTATACAGTTTAACTTTTATATTATATTGTGTATATAAGTATTTTGTATTACAATGGAATCAGTGGCAACATTACAGTTTTATAAAATAATGCTTTGTTAGACAAGGAATTACAGCTTTGCAATAACTAAATTGTTTTGCATACTTCTGAATGTAACAGAATGAATAATCAGCCTGTGTTTTTAATGAATCTATTTGTATTTTCCCAGTCATTTCTTCTAGTGTAATGTTTGCTGGAATAATAAAAAAAAGCAAAATTTATATCTTTCAATTATGTGTGGAAAGCTGACATTTTAAATTGCTTAAGTATATTCTTTTTAACTCAAGTTTAATTTTAATCTTTTGATTGGCAAAGAAAACTTACGACAAAATGTGATGCTTTGGAATTAAAATATATTTGACAAGGTCAGGGATATAGCTTAGTGGCACAAGCACCTGCCTGTCAAGTGTGAGGTCCCGAGTTCGATCCCTGGTACCAAAAAAAAAGTAACAAATGATACTACCTAGTTAGGTGAAGGCAAACTGAATATAGTATAACCCAGTAAAATGTTTTCAATTTGTATGATAAATATTTTTGAGTTACAAGCTTCCTTCAGATTTTTGTTTTAAAACTTTTTATTAAACTACATGTAGTTTCATTTGAATACGTTTTATAATTTTTAAAATATGAAGTTACTGGTTAAATTTCCCTTTATTTACAACTCTTTCATGACATAAAATGCTAACCAGATAAAAATGTTTTATTTCAAATCAACTTTACAAGAATGAATACTGTATTTTCCTCTTTCCAAGCATTATCATCATGGGGCTGGGGTATTGGCAATTGAACTCAGCACTCACACTTGCCAGATAGGCACAGTGACACTGTATCCTTGGCCCTTTGCCATCATTTTAATATCTTTTATTTTTGTCTGTACCCCCCTGTAAATTTATCTTTGTCTACATGAAATTCTTTTATAGCTCACACAAACTGCAGTATTCCTATGGACCTGTATTTGGTGTTTCAGTACACTTAGTTGTGCCACCAACCCCAACACATACCTGCTTATATGTGGAGAGAGGTTACCAAACATCTGTTTGAATCACAAACAGCAACTGTCCAGTAGGCAGTCTTTCCTTACTCCTTTCAGTAATAGTTACCCAGACATCTTGAACATTTTGCTAGATTCAGAATCTGGATGGCATTTTGGGTTGTTTCTCCTAGGGATAATAAGTTTACTCCTTAGGAAACTAAGGTTCTCCTATGTACCTACCTCTTAGAGAGTACTGACAGAAGTTGTTCTTGTCCCTCAGCATCCATTATGCTATTCTTCTTTTTACTAATAGAGTCCCCATCCTCCAAGTTTTAACTGTCACATTAGAGTCCATGTTTCTCAGAATCCCTTTTTGTTTGGTGAGAACATCATTGGGATAAACAAATGTGTGTGCAAATTCTACATACATTTTAATTTGAAATTTTGCTATTTCTGTCATCTAACAGGATGAAACATGGACATGGTGGTGACTTAATTTGGCCCATAAAAAGTGGGTAAATGGGGCTGGGGATTTAGCTCAGCAGCATAAGTACCTGCCTTACAAGTGTGTGACCCTGAGTTCGATCCCTGGTACTGATAAAAAAAAAAGACAAGGAAAAAAAAAAGTGGGTAAACCCTTAGTGATAGATTAACAAAATAAATAAAACCTGGTTACCTGAGAAACAATAAAGTAGGGTTGACTCCAGACTGATAACACTGCAGAATGTTGGAGAAAAAAAATTCAACTCCTATATGCTGGCGAGTATAATACAGTGTGTAATTTGTGTTAGTATATAGCCTGATTTTCAGTTTTTTAGGAGGGAGGGCAGTGGTACTCAAGATTCTGCTTCTGGTATGATGTGTAAGTCAGTTCTTAATGGATTTATTCTATAAATATAACTCACTATGGCCAATTAAAAAAAAAAACTACTTACAGATCCTGGAGTGGAACCAAGACCAGACAGATTCTGGAGTGAAGTTGCCCCATGGAAAAAAAAGAATGGCATGTGATGAGTACCCCACTGTCATGACATCTTGCCTGAGAAAGGCCTAAATCTTTGGCTGAACCCTGAACTACATCCATGCAAAGAAGCTCTAAACATTTTACCTACGAAAAAATTAAAATGACATTTTAGGGCTGAGGATTTAGCTTAATGGTTTAAAAAGCTGCCTGGCAAGTACAAGATGGTGGGTTTGATCCCCAATACCAAAAAATAAAAAGTAAATAAAACAGCCAGGGATTTAGTTCAGAGATATAAGTGCCTGCCTGGGAAGCGCACAGTTGTGAGTTTGATCCCCAATACAAATAAACAAAATAAAACGACATTTTAGGTGCTGCCCAAGAGAAAAAACCAGATTGAGTTAATAGCTTGCTTAACTAAAACACCTCCAGAGATTGTCAAAGAGTCCACAGTATCTGCAATATATCATTTCTCATCCCAAGGTACAATCCCAAATTACTTGACATACAATGAAAATGACTATGCTTGAAAAAAACAGTAAAAGGAAGTTGACTCCCAGATCCTACTTCCAGTATTGGGAGTTGGCAGAAAGGGAGAGTACAACAGCTCTTCCAACTACGCACAGCAATGAAATTTTTAGAGGAAAATATTGTGCATCCCCAGACCAAGAAAAATATGCATTTTGTGGGGAGGGGGTATCAGGAATCAAACTCACGACCTTGTGTTTGCTAGGTAGGTGCTTTTACCACTGAACTATATCCCTTGCAAGGAAAATATTCTTAAAACAAATGTAAAGATAGGAAACTCCAGTAAAGAAATACGGAGTCTAAGAAATAAGCTGGGAATGTAGTTGAATAGTAGACCGCTTGCCTACCATGTGCAAGGCTGTGGATTCCATGGAATCTCAGCACTAAAAGGCATAAAAAGGAAATTTGGAAATACAGTATGTGATGCACCTAACAAGAATGGAGATGAAGCCAAGCATAGTGGTATGTACTTGTTCTCCAGCACTTTGATAGGCCAGGGCAGGAGGATCCCAGCTTTAAACACAACCTGGACAACTTAGCAAGACCCTATCTCAGAATTTTGAAAATATTTTTAAAAGACTGAGCATGTAGCTCAGTGGGAAGGCCCTGGATTCAGTTACCACCACTGCAGAATTAAATGCACAAACAATCGAACAGAGATAATAGAAGGAAAACTAAATCTGAAGATCATCACAGGAGCCAAGGATACAGTTGTGTAGTAGAACACTTGCTTAGCATGTGTCTTAGTTGCTTTCCTACCAGGACAAAATACCTAACACCCACAATTTTAAAAAGGCAAGGTTTATTTTGGCTCATAGTTACAGTCCATGTTTGGCTGGCTCCAAGGCAGGAACAGGAAGGCTGAGAGACTTGGCAAAAGAAAAGGTGCTCAACTCAGAGCAGCCGGGAAGCAGAGCAAAAATAGAAGCCCAGCCCAGGAGGAAGACACTAGGTCACACTCCCACTGACCTGCTTTTAACCAGCCCTCATCTCCTAAAAGAACTCATCAGTGGACTAATCCACAGAGGACTGTAGTGTCTCCATGATGCAATCGCTCTCAAACACAGGAGCTTTTGAAGAACACTTTAGGTCTACCGTAACAGCATGCATGAGGCTTTGGGTTTGAACCCCCACACTGTCAAAAAACAAAGCAAGGACTGGAGATATAGCTCAGCGGCACAGCACCTGCCTGGCAAGTGCAAGGTCCTGAGTTCAATTTCTGCTTTTGAAAAAAAATATTAGAAACTTCTTAAACACATAGTTGGTATATCTCTCCCCTTAGTTGGTAATGGGGCTGAAAAAAAAATAGAAAATATTGACCACAAATTTATTAAATTTGCAGAAGGTAATAAACTTATAAATTAAAACAATTTGGAAAGTGCACAGCAGAGAGATAAAATGGCAACCATGAAAGTGAGTTTCTCAAATCTACTGACAGAAGTATAATTAAGTGATGGCCCCAGCTCCTGGACTCTGAATTCAGCAGTGCATTTGTGCCTGGATTTCACTTACTTCCTGTCAGTGACTGGCTCAGCAGGGATAAAGGTAATTTCATTCCTCCAAATTGCCACTGTTGGGGAGCTTTGATTGCAGAAGTCCCCATTTGCCTTACCAAAATGTTCTTTAGAACAGGATCGCAATCTAAAGCTTTTGCTATCCAACTTTTTTTCCTTCTCTCCTTCCTGAGGTTCAAATTGGCATTAGGATATAGTGTCTCTCCCAGGCTCCTCCTGTAACCTCTCCATTCACCCGCATAAGAATTTGTTACAATAAATTGCCTATGAGGAACTAAGATTTTAAAGAGAAAAATTTAAAAGAACTAAAATAGGAGAGGGGAAGCAAAACTAATTAAGATGTGTTTGATACATGTACCAACTTTCCATGATGAATTAATCATTATGCACCTTTTTTTTTTTTTTTTGAGACAGAGTCTCACTTTGTAGTTCAGGCTGGCCTTGAACTTACTATGTAGCCTGGGTATGTACTACAGATATATACTAATAAATTTTTTAAAAAGAACTCATTACAGTAAGCGAAAAAAAGAGAAAAAGCTGATGTTCAGGGTTGGGGATTTAGCTCAGCGGCATAAGTGCCTGCCTTGCAAGCAGGCAGTCGTGAGTTCGATCCCCGGTACCAATAAAAAAAGAAAAAGACAAAAAAAAAAAAAAAAAAAGGAAAAAAAAGCTGATGTTACATATTGAATGTCTACTAACATAATAAATATAGAGAGCAGCCAAAAGTGCAATAATATTGTATGATGAAATCTAAAAATTCAGTAATCTTTAAAATTTTGTCATATATATATATATATATATATATATATATATACACACACACACACACACACTCTGTATCCTAAGACATGGTTTGATTTTTTGTTGTTGTTGTTGTTTTTTTCCTTTTTATCGGTACCGGGGATTGAACTCACGGCTGCCTGCTTACAAGGCAGGCGCTTATGCTGCTGAGCTAAATCCCCAGCCCCATGGTTTGATTTTGTAACTGTCTAGAGAAAACCTGTTAGATATAGCAACCAAGTAAGCAAAGTTAATAAATTATGTCCTTTTAGATTTCTCTGTAAATTCTCTTTAATTTATATATGATTAAAAAAAATTTACATATGATTTTATTCTAAAAATATGGCATGGCATGGTGGCACAGCCTGTAATCCCAGCACTTTGGAGGCTGAGGTGGACACATTGCTGCAAGTTCAAAGGCCAGCCTAGGCTACAAAGTAAGTTCAAGTCCAGCCTGAACTGCATAGTGAAACCCTGTCTCGAAAAGACCAAAAACAGAGTTAATTTTTACAATACACTAGATAAAAGGATACAGTATGTCATTTAATTAAGTTTGCCAACTGGGAGAAGAGACAAGAGACAAATATGTAACACCGGGAGGTAATCTTCATGACTATTTTAGTGTGTAATTCCAGTTCACACCTCTGGCAGTAGTGTCCCAACCTACTCCCTCTTACCTCTAAGCTTTCCTACTCTTATCTGTCAACGTAATTCTTCTACTTGCTATCTAACTTACAACCTTCATCTGAAAAATGTTAGTGGTTCTTTTTTTGCCTATTGAATAGTTTAAACTCTTTAGGTAACACCTACTTTGCAGTCTCTTTTTCCATTAACTTCTCTTCCTATGTCCTAAAGTCTTGCCAAAATAATCTGTCCACTCATCAGGAAAATATAATCTTGGAATGTTAGAGGCTCAGTTTGGACACAATACTTTTAGACAGGTAAGGGATCTTCAAGTCACACTGTGAAAGAACGAATGACTAGTGTAGTTGTCTGAGGGTGGTACAAATATTCTGTTTCTCCAGAGGACACTGTAGAGCTGTAGCTCCCTCTCCCTTTGAAGTTAGGTTGATCACATGACTTCCCCTGGCCAATGAAATATGAGCAGAAGTGGCTTGTGTAACATATTCAGGCAAAAACTGCACAATCTATCTCCTTTTCGTTTTCGCATTTCTAGAGGTCCCAATGTCTGCCTTCTACTCAGCTAGGAACACAGAGTAGATAAGTGCTGGGTGTCTAGTTAAGTGGGGAAGTGCTTGCCTGATATGCATGAACCCTAGCCCTGCAAAAACAGAAGGACAGAGTAAAAAAAAAAAAATAAAACCAAAACTGTTGTTGAAGACTGTGATTTAGGGGTTACTGCACTACTACTCTTCCTTGACTAGTGCAACTAGTAAAGCAATGGAAGTAGTAAATGTAAGCCACTTTATGGAGGTTTGCCTTTGTAGTGGTCGACTCTGTCAATTTGAGATGTTTAGAAGCTTAACTAAATCAGCTTAGCAATTCTACTTCTAGAGTGTAGAAGACCTACCATAGCGTGGCTCATAAAAGGGAAAGAGGAATGACAGATGGGGCTCTGTTGTTTGGAGGAGCTCAAATTTTTGCGTTTGGCTAGTTCATTGTCTCCTGGCTTCCACTTTAGACTCTGTCTTGGATACTTCACTCTTTGGGGCATAGACTCTTCAGCTTTCTGTCACAGACCCATCAGCCTCTTGGTGCAGACTTCCACAGGACACTGGGATGAACTCTAGATCTTGGATTGAATCCTTCAGCCTCCAGCACACAGACACCTTCTACCCGCATCTTCATTTGACTTTGTGGCTGACCATGGTAAGCCAACCTAGTAATTTCTTATACATGTGTATATCTTATATTATAGCTGTTTTTCTAGTAAAATCCCAATACAGTCTTTCTACTTAAAAATCTTCAGAGGCAGGCATGTTAGTGCACACATGTAATTCTAACACTTGGAAGGCTTGAAGCAGGATGATTGCAATGAATTTAAGGCTAGGCTGGGCTATGCAGTGAGTTCAAAGCCAGCATGAATTACACAGCAAGGCTCTGTCTCAACAAAACAAAACAGAAAAAGGAAAAAATTAAAAACAAACAAAACCACAAAACAAATAAACAGAAACTTCATTGTAAAATTTATATACAAACCAGGTATGGTGCTGCACACCTCTAATCCTAGCACTCAGGAGGCTGAGGTAGGAGGGCTGTCACAAGCTGGAGGCCAGCCAGAACTATATAAGACCCTGTTCAAAAAACCATGAAAAATTTACAAAAGTAAAATAAATGCATTTGCTTTATATGTAGTTTGATGAGTTTTAATAAGTATATATACCATGTAACTAATTCCTCTATAGAAGATTTTCTTTCCATCACTTCAAAAACATTTCCAATTGCTTCTTTCCAATTCCCTCTCCCTCACTTGAATTTAGCCTCCAGCTCCCATTGATCAGGTGTTACTAGAGATTTGATCTGCCTGTTCCAGAATTTCCTGTAAATAGAATCATACTTTTGTTAAAGTTTCTACACAAAGGCCAGCTGTAAAAAGTTACCAGCTTGTTTACATTTCATTGATTGGAGCATTTTGACCTTGTGGAAAGATGAAGTATTGTAAATTAAGAATCCTAAATAGTATTGGGCTATTTTAAGCCTCTTTGACAGCAATTCATTATAAGCCTCTGTGTAATTTAATATTTTGTATGACTAATGCATAAAATCCTTTTTTTCCTGGTACTGGAGATTGACCCCAGGGGTGTTTTACCCTGAAATATATCCCCAGCCCTTTTTGAGAGAAAATCTCCCAAATTGCTCCTAAATTGGCCTTGAAATTGTGATCCTCCTCTAAGCCTCCCACAGAGCCATGATTACAAGTTTGTGTCACTGCAACTAGTACTTGATAAAATCTTAAAATGTTATATTAGGCCAGATGAATCTCTGATCTCTACTGAACTTTGTCTATAAATGAGACAGCCCCTGAATCCTACAGGAAATTTCCTTGCCTCACTAAAAATAGCATATAAACCCTGTATTTCCTTGTCTTATCAAACACAATGTTTGAATATTTATTTACTTATGTAGATTCAGGGTTTTGCTATATTCCAGGCTGGTCTTGAATGTAAGAGCCTCCTGCCTCAAAGCTGCCCAGAGTGCTGCAATTACAAGCCTGTGACTTCTCATTAGGCAATATTTGAGTCTCATGAAAAATTTCCCCACCTTTTGTGTAGTTTGAGCTTGCATAATCTCCTCAGGATAAAATCATGAGGTTTTATTTATTTTTTTTGGTTGTTTTGAGACACGGTCATATTATGTACTTCTGATTGGCCCTGAACGTACTATGTAACCACGACTGGCCTCAAACAACAATCCTCCTACCTCAACCTCCCAAGTACTGGGAGTATGGGTATGCACTGTAAAACAATTTTAATTTAGGATCTAATATTGAATTTGTGTTCCCTGGGCATGGTCATTCCTGTTGGTTTGGAATAAATTATTTTCTTATTCTAGAATTTTTATTTTTTACATTGACAATAACATATGCATTCATTTTTCAAACTTTGAGTTTAAACTATAAATTGGCTTCATAAACTAGCATACTTTTGCATTCATAGAAAAGATGAATTCTCCTAATTAAGGTAATTAATCTAAACCTTCTTAGATTGGATTATAGTTTTCTGTGCTCCATTACAATAAAGCTCATATCCACTATAGTGAAACTATTCTTTTCTATTTTAGGTGAGCCCCATGAAACGTTTCATTTATTACCACTGTATACTCAGTGTCAAACACTGACACACAGCAACTGTGTTATTTGAATGGAAGTATCTCTTTTGAGTTGCTGTTCTTTTGAGACAAGGTCACACTGTGTAGTTCAGGCTGGCCTCAAACTCACCGAGATCCTCCAGAGTTCTTGGATTGCAGACGTATACCTGTGATGCTTTAATGTTAGAAATTTAATTTAGATGTATTCCTAAAGAAAAAACTTGCCCTACGCGCTCCTAGTCCATGGTGAGTAGGAGGGGTGGTCGTGGTAGCAGATGCAGAGACTGGGGGAAGCGTGGCCAACAGCACTGCCCAGTATGCATAAACTGTGAAATACCAATTTTATTTGTTGCCTGGTTGTATTAGAACAGTGACAGCAGGATGTAGTGGCGCACACCTGTAATCCCAGCACCCGGGCGGCTGGGGCAGGAAGATGACTGTGAGTTCCAGGTCAGCCAAAAATATTTAGGGAAACCCTGTATTAAAAAACAAACAACCCCCACCCCCCAAACCCACAAAAAAAACGTTGGCGACAAGAAAATAACATTATGAGCTGGGTCTGATTATCCTTTTCTGTTATTCTAGCATTTAGGAAACTAAGTCAGGAAGATCTCGAGACTGAGGGAGACGAATGAAACTACCTTGCACCAGCATCGTATCCCAGGTTCTGTATTTACACTCTCCTTTATTCCTGCTCTTCTCTGACTGGCCACAGCCTAAGAATTCTGACTCTAAATTCTAAAGCAGTATTTGTCATAAATGAATAGCTTGACCCCTGAAACTCAGCAGTAAAACAGACACTCTCACTGTAACCTCTGAGTAGTCTAGTGAAAACTAAATGGGAGGGAAAGTGGTCACGTGGTCAGCACAGGTACAGAGATAGGCGTGGTGACACGGATTAAGAGCTTTACTTGCCTTTTTTCCATTTTGCCCACCAGCTGCGCGACAGGCGCCGACTACGCAGGCGCGCTCTGGATGGCCACGCCCCCTGCGTTCCCGCCCCGGCGCACGCACGTCTCCTGGCGTCCTCGCTCCTGGGGCGTAGCCCCGCGTGTGACGGACTCGTAGAGGCTGTCCCTGGTACCGGAAGTTGCCCTGGCGCGTTTGACTTCAAATCCTCGCGAGCAGAAGCCGCACTGGGGGCTGCTGGCTGTTGAACCCGGCTGCGCCCGGTCCGTGAGTGAGGGCGGGGGTTGGAGGCTGGGCTGGCCTCATTTTTGGCCGCTGGAAGTCCCGCTGGGCCCGTGCTCTCCGCCTGGCGGGGGACGGTTTCCCGAGACGCCTCGGGTGCGGTAGGTGAGTGCTGTGCGGATTCCGACCCCGCGGCTCGGCTGGCGAGGCAAACGGGGGTCTGCGATGAAAGCCCAGTGCGCGTGCTGCCTAAACCTGCTTGTATCTAACCAGAGGTGTTAGGTCGTTGCTTTTGTCGCTGACACCTGTAGCACAGGTGACAGCCCCTTCCTGAAAAATCTTGAATCTTGTCCAGCCGGGAGCTAGTCTAGAGCTCCTGTCCATCCCATCTCTAGGCCCTTCTAGAAGACAATAGGTTTTTGGTCCCCTGCATGCCCACCTCCTCAACCCCCCAGATCCTCACCCCAAAATCCCCAGAGCGTTGACATTTTCATTCAGCTACCTTTTTTTTTTTTTACAATTTTGTTGATGTGATATTGTTTCTTATTTCGGTGGTTCGGAGTTTGATTCTTTTTGCTTCACTGAATCAAAAAATAGTTTTCTCTTTTAACTTAAAAGTTAGTTTTGTATTAGTTACTAACTTCACCAACACAGAGATGCTTCCTTTTCACTTAAAAACAGTCATTTCTATCTCCCTTTGAAATCAAACCTTTAGTTACCGCTGAAAACATTCTTGGTTTTAGAGTATGTGCAGTAGATCTTTGCCACAGTCATAAAGTCAGAATGATAGCCACCTTAGCAGGTGTCAAGATGTATTTTTGTAATATTGTTATAGACCTGAACGTCTGAGCATATAACCCTGTGTTCGTCTCTGAAAAAGAGAATTTTTGTAATCAGAGAGTGCTTATACCAAGAAACACTAGGAGCTAAAGGCTTTGTCTTGTATTAACATTATCAGCTAGTGGCTTTCATTGTTCAATGCTGATCAACTTTCATTATTCTTAAATTACATATTTATAGCGTTCCTTTATGGTATCAATTACAGAAGCATTTACATTTTATACATTCATTTCTGGTCATGTTGTGTAGTTACTTGAGATTCTGTACTTACTTTGAAACTAGTACCATAACTGTGACAAATACTGAGAATGAGGCAATCTTGTAGAATTTACTAATTTTAATAACATTGTCGAATTTCTGTTAACAGAAACTTTTTAAAGCTACTTAACTGTTTAAAAAAGATAGTGTTATCTGTTTTTCTGGGAGATTTCTTTTGGCGCTTTTTCTAAGTAATAACTTTCTTGTGCTTAAATATCATGATGATTGGTGCTGGGGGTTTAGCTCAGCGGCATAAGCACCTGCCTTGCAAGCAGGCGGTCGTGAGTTCGATCCTCGGTACCGATAAATATGAAAAAGACAAAAAAAAAAAAAATATATATATATATATATATATATATCATGATGATTATAAACGTAAGAAAAATGTATGCCATGCTTTCTTGGTTATAGGTCACTCATTTACTGTGCTTGTTCATAATCATTAATGAGTGTCTGTAATATAGTGGCATATAGTTGTTTTCGTGCCCTATGTTGGAACATTCTGTAAATTGCCAATCTGTTGCAAGTTTTAAAATCACACACATGGTATGCTGAACTGCCTTCGGGAATATGCATGTTTGAATTTTATGATCTGCTTTTGTATTAAGGAATTTTGCAGAAAAATTTTAAAAACATTTTCAGGCTTCTAACATTGTGTTGACTTTTTTTGAGTGTGTGCGTGTTTTAATGTCTTATGTTTGTCTCCCTAAGCAAAGAAAAAAAAAAAAAAAAGCTGGAATAAGTGAAATGATATCCTTTCAACTAAATCTCAACAATTTAAACGCCTAATTCTGCTTTATTTTCGTTTTCAATGTTTTCCTTGGAACTCAGTCTACTTCTGTCTTCAAAGAAATTTCTTGCAACTCAAGAAGTGCTTCTGAAATATTTGTTGAGTGTATGATCTGTGCATGGTATAGTAAAAACTGCAATGTCAGAGGAATCTTTTAAAAATTATGTAGTAAGATGCCCCTTTTAGGATTGGAATATGGAGGGCTCCTTTTGTTCAGGGAGAGAATTGGAATCTCAGAATTAAAATATTTGGATTAGTTGTCTTCTTTTTCAGTATCTTTGATCAGTTTTTCCAAATCCTAGAGGAGGAAGGAAAAAAAAAAATAAAGTTTTGTTTCTTTGTGAGACATTACACTCCATCATAGAAACTTTGCTGTAAATCAGTCGTCAGCTAAATTACAAATCCTCAAGTCTTGTAAATAAAAAAGGAACTTCCATTAGAATAATGAAGAAAAACTTTGCTGTAAGATAAAG